AACTCTTGATTGTTAGACAAATTCTCCTTGCCAGCACCTCAGTAAGGAGAATATGAATACTGATGTTAGGGTGTTAAGGGTTAAAAGTTCTCACTCATGCACAAATACATAATTTTCTTTGCAAAAACCTGGGCCAATTTTTCCCACCATTTCCCAACAAAAGAAGATGAAGTAAAGAACTTTCATTTTTTTACCATCATTCAGTCATAACCTTTTGTCAATTCCCTTTTGTTAATTTTGAGAATTAAAACAACTTGTAAATTAGTGCTTCTGCCAACTAAGTGCCCCCTGCCTGGAATAACCTCTGCATCTGAGTTGCAAAAAATTTTGATGCACATTGCAGTCCCTATTGTTAAGTAATTAAGGCAAATGCTTCTGGATGTAAATATTAGTCAGGAATAAAAGGTAGTTGCTTTTCCTTTCCTCAAACATTTTTTGTCAAAAGCAGCTAAATACTGAACTTACTGAAAATGTGTATAACCAAGTGTAGGAATTGACTTGTTTTTCTCAGCAAAGTCTGATAGCCTCTCTATGCATCTGGCAAGCTTTAGATAAATGAACAAATAAATAAATATATAATTAGTAGCAAATACATGAACAGAATATGATTTGCAAATGCAAACTTGATATGAGACTATATCCAAGTACTTCATTTACTGAGAACTGGTAGATGAACGTTAACTGTGGCAATTTCAAGATTTTAACATACACTGTACTTCAAACAACAACAGTCTTCTTGAATCTCAATCTTGTGTGAACATTATTATTGAATACCTGCATAGACACTGACACATCTCTTCATACTAGTATTGCAAGTCCCTTGTAATATATAGAATGCAGTTACTTTCTAAAGACACTCTTGTACAGTGCTGACAGGTAAGTGAGAAACTTGATTCATTATCAATGAGAAGTGATAAAGATCTGAAAAATGCTGTGGCATACTTTGAAAAGATGATTTTTTGAGCATTACCCCATTGCTCTGTCCAGAGAGTATATTCCTACATCACTGTGCGTCAAACAAAGAGTAGAGAAATTTATGCATGAATCTTACCTTTGGGAGTAAAATGTTAAAAGCATCCCTTATAACAATTAAGTCCTAAAAAAAGATTCAAGAAAGGTATTTTACTGAACTGTTTGAATCCATTCAGTACTATGACTATGGAGGAAAAAATGTGCCTAAGCATGAATACTTACATCAAGGAGTTTATGGTAAAAAACCTAAAATACCAGGGAAATCTTATCAAGAGCCTACTTGTAGTGACCCACATCATTTAAGCTAATACTGCTCATGGCAAAGACTTCTGTAACTCCATACCTAAGAATCTGGCTAGTTTCCCTAACATTTTGCCAGTACCTCTTTTCAGTCTGACATAGAAAAAAAGTGCAAAACTAAAGTGACATTATAAACAAAGAGGGAGGGTGGGGGGGGGGAGGGGGGAGGGGCGCAAGGGGTGAAAGGGAAGAGGGATGGGAAAGAAGGGAAAGGCCTCTCAAAATATCAGTAACTATGCACAATTTTTAATTCCCTTACATCCTAAACCCTCTCTATTTATCTTGCAAGTTATTTTATAAAAATGGAAAAATAGATTCATTGTCTGCATATATACAATTTGAAACTATAGCAATAGAATGCTTCAATTAACCCTTTAACTCTCAGATCAAATGTATACTTCTCCTTACTGTCAACCATACAATTCTTTTGATGTTAGTTCAGAGAATTTAGTATTGGATCAACTAATTATCCCCAAATTGATATTTTTCCTTACTCTCATCACTTATCTGATTGATATTGCATTGATATTGTAAGGAGAAATTCTGTCTTGGTCACTCATAGGAGTTTAAGGGTTAAGGGGACAAGGATAATCATACAAGATAAAGTATACAGAACATACATATACCATCCCCCCCCGATAAGTCCATCAAAAGACATTCCAGACATTTATCTGTAAAGGGTCTAAGAAGAGTGTGTTTAACCCTTTACACCCTAACATCAGCATGCATATTCTCCATACTGTTCTCTATACATTTCCTAAGGTGCTGACGAGGAGAATTAGCTTAACAATCCAGAGCTTCTATTGTTGATCATTTCCATTACTCTCATGACCTTAGCGTGTGACTCAGAGGTGATATTGTAATGAGAAATTAGATGCTAGTCACTTTTAAGAATGAAAGGGTTAATATCCTACCATTTGCACTGAAAAAAGTATTTACAATATAATAATGTAAAACACACTTTTGTGTTACTTCAGCCTAGCAATCCCCTACTAAGGGTGGGAAAGGGTTTATACATGACATCTGATTAAGCCCAAAACTAATATGTGATGTACTAATTTACAGAGAGGCAAGGTAAGGTGAGATTTGAAGATTTCCCTTTTAAATTCATGATGCATAAAACACTGTTCAAAGTGCATGTGATGCTTGAATTTTTCTAAAATTCAAGAGTAAAACAAGACCAGGATCCCCTCTGTTTCCACCCTCTCTGCTATCATAGAAAAAGGCCATCCTGTGTTGTGCTTACAACATTACATTTGCTACTGTTTCACCACACCAGCATTTACACAAAATATCTCTCTGGTAGGTTCAATAAATAAATTTATCCTTTCAAGGAAATGACTCTCATTTTTAACTCACAGTGTTATCACCAACATAACAAGATGTTGCTCCCAGGTGGATGATAGGAGCAGCCTTTGGACAGCACACACCAAATGTGTGGACATGTGCCATAACATCATGTCGACGTTTCTTCTCCTCAGCTGCAGCCAGGCTGTAGTCTATATTTTTTAAGTTGGCTTCCATTTCCTGGATTTGCTCATCTGTAATTTCCAGCCCTAGAGTCTATGGAAAAATCAAGACCCTAGTTATGAGAGATTCCAAGTTATAGAGGCTACAATTAAAAGCCTCAACAGGATGAACCTGCAACAAAGTTGCTGCCCTTAAGAAGAAAAAAGTCTGAGATACCACAAAATAAAGACACTTTAACGCCTGGGACAGCAGGGAAAATATATCTTCCTTTTACTGGAGGGTTGGAATAAAAACAGAAGAATATTTTGCAAAAACTTGAGTGGAAGGGAGATTTCAAGCCATTAGGTAGAACTAATCATCTAGGAAAGTCAATTTTAAAATGGATATGCATTATTTTTGGAGGGTTTAGCTGCTTTTTGAAAACTTTCATTTCACTTGAGGATCCACTTTAGATATTGACTATCCTGGCCAGTCAGTTCCTCCCAACAATAGAAATATCTGATTGAGTGAACAAGCCTGGCCAGCCTGTTCTAATCATGATTAGTGGTGTATTCACCAGCAAGGAACCTCCACGTGAGAGACACTATCAGGAATAGAGAAAGTGTCCCTTAAACAATTAAGAGAATAGACGTAAAGGGGGTATTTTCAGTCTGGACCGAAGATTATATCCACTGAAATAGAGGGGTACCTTGAAATAGAGGTGTCCTAATTACCTGTTTCTAATTTAGGGGGTGCTATAATTCTTAGATAAGCACTAAAAGTACTAAAATTGGGTGTACCTTCTCAGATTTTGCTAGAAAAAGCCATAACTTCCTCCACGTAGAGAACTTCTTGTCCTCAGAGAAATTAAACGCCATTTCAGGACTAGCATATCGACTTGTGAGGGGGCTTCGATACACCGCGTGAACTGAATCTCCCGCCATCTTGGATTCTAGAGACCGCGATTTCACTCCACACACGTTTTGCAGCGGTTTCCCGCATAAATGTAATGGAGGACACAGAAGGCGCCGTTCACTACACTTTTGCCGACAATTTAGCTCCGTATTTTTTGCTTGTATTCTCTCCGATCGTTGTTATTTTTTGCCTTTTTGGAATATCTTATACATATATAACTACAGAGGTGAGTTAATTGACGTTTCTTTTTCAGCAGAAGGTAGGAATGCGCAGCTTAAAAATGCATCCTCACAACCCACCTTCACAGTTCTCAATGTTCATGTACATACAGAGATGTTTATATGGACATGGCGGTGAACTTAAGCGTAAGCTCAGTGCTAGCTTTGATATTTTGCATGAAATACTAAGTTATACACCGGAACACCAGCACTTGTAGCTAGTGGTATTTTTAGAATAAGGAATGCGAAGTATATTCTGCAGTTCAGTGGACAAAAACATCCATCCCTGTTTGAATATCATACAAGACTGCAAGAAGTGATGCTTGATTGACATTTTGAAGAGGGAGCTCTTCTAAACGTTGCCTTCAGGCTGGCTTTTTTTTTTCCATTTTGACGTTTTTGTCTTTGTATTAACCCTTCAGACCCTGACAATAGTTTGCAAATGCAATATTCTCCACACTGATCTCTATGCATTTTGTAAGGTGCAGATTAGGAGAATTTGTTTAACAATCAAGAGTTTCTTTAGGTGGTGATCATTTCTTTTATTCTCCTGACCTTAATGTTTGTTTCAGAGGTGATATTGTAAGGAGAAATTAGATGCGACTTACTCTTAGGGATAAAAGAGTCAAAACAAAAAGAGTCTGAGGCACTTGTGAGCTTTATGCATGGTAGGGCTTACATTAACTTCCACTAGGTAAGGATACATTTAACACCTAATGATGGCATATCTTGTTTTGTTTCAGGATTTTCCAGAGTCCTGTCTCAATCAGTACTCACCTTGCTACTTTGGTCTTCTGGTACCAACCTCTATACCAGTATTTGTGTTCTTCATGTATTTCAACTGGATGGGGCTAAAGTTTTTCACTCATAACTAAACCAACATAAATCTTCCATCATGGGGAAAGTTGCCTTAAAATACTAGCTTCAAGGATGAAAAATATGCTAAGGAAAGCATACCCTGTGTTGTTTGTTCAAGGAAGGGATCAGCCTACAACAAGAGCATGTTTTGTTACAACTATGTCTGACTTACAGGTAACTTTTAGGTGAACAAGCAATCAATGTTTGATGGTGAAAGAAATGGTCACCATTACTGAATCCAGTTAGGGAGAGAAGCATGGCTCTTTTAAAAAACTTCAGAGCTACAGATACTATCCCATCTAGCTTGCATTTAGCATGCTTGCATTGCGTGTTAGAGGAGATGAGCAAAGAACATCACAAGCTGTAGGAATGACACAACGATGCGCCAAAGTGAATTAAAGCCCTCTTCCTCCTTTAAAAGTGACAATGAAATTCATTCTGGTGAGCAATCTTACAAATCTTATCCTGAGCTTTGGTTTGAATGTGTTAAAAATCTCCAAAATAGCTCTTTTCAATTACTTGTTTTTCTTCTGTTTTCTTCTAATACCAGAGATTACTTTCAGTTTTAATGTAATCAGTTACTACCTTCAAAAAGCTGATTATTAAATCACGACCATGTGATAGGTCAATAAATATAGTCTATACCTGAAATGAGTCCTCCATCCAGTTGGAGCTTGTCCCAGTACCCATAGAATGAAGTAGGGGCAGATCTAAGGGAGGGGTGCTGGGGATGTGCACCCCTCTCCCCACCCCAAGATGACCTGTGACTTTCTGATATAACTTTGCTGTTGTTCAAAATATGCTGTATTGTTTGCAGTGTTCTCAGCAGTTCACATTATGTTACAGCCTAGTCATAGGCCTTCTTCTTCATTATTCACTTTTAAAAATTTCCACTTCACTCATCAGTGCTGTCATTCCTTGGCAGTACACCCCCTCCTAACAAAAGTCCTGGATCCGCCATTGACAATTCGTTGGTACCTATTTATACTGGTGTATGGGGAGAAGCATGGGGAGACTAAAGTGTTTTGTCTAAGAGCACAACAAAGTGAATAGGCACAATATCAACAATGTAGTCAACTGTACGAATTGAGATCTTTGACTAATTTTATTGACAGTTGATGTTTTTCAATCTACTTTTGCATCCTTATCTCTGATCAAAAAAAATAAAAGCAACTATGAAAATTGGCATGTGGAAGGGTATTGTTTTTTTTGTAGTTTTACTATTCCATGAAACAAAATTTGGCGCCCCACCAAAAAGACAGTGTAGCTAAAAAGCAAGTAACTGCTCTCTCAAGAGAGAGGATGGCCCCCCGCCCACTATGATCGAGATTTTCTCTTGTTTGGTCTTCAGTCTAGACCAAACTTTACATTGAGGTCTCCTTAGTGGGGAAATGTGCCATCAGCTGATGTTTTTAATGTGCACTTATTAAGTTGTAGAAGACGTGCATCCAAGTTTTGATGGCCAGAACGGAGGCGTTTGAAAGCAAATGAGTTTATTTTTGTCACAGTCCGTTTTGAGACCACGGTCTCCTCTTCACACGGATCCGAGTCATCGTTTCGTTAATGAAATTAGTGAGAAAAGTAAGTTTCTTCAGGGTGATGACAAGAACAGAAAAAACTCTCCATTTTCAGGTCGAAAACGCTTCCTTCACATTTCTCTTCTCATTAGTTACCCAATACCAAAAGCGCCCACTCTGCGTGAGTAATGCGTGGTATACAGTTGATAAATCATAATTACTTACATGTAATGTAAATCCAAGCGTCTAGGGCAATTTGTTTTGGCATATTCACCTGACACTATTGTATGTTTTGGTTTAAATCGATATCAAGTTTTAGAAATGATTTCATGTCAGCTGAGTTTACAGTTGAACATTGTAAAAGAAAAAAATATCCCTTTCCCATTTTTCACTCCCCGTGTCCGGAGAATTTGTTTTAAAGGGATCTTCTTTTAAAACAAGGAGACAAAACAGCACAAAGAAAAGAGTTGAAAATTTGTTTTAGAGCTGGGGATAAAGATATATCTAGTCTTCTAAGGATTTTAAATCACAATCTTCAAAAGAGTTTCAGAATATGACTTGAGGCCGAAAGAGAATTGACTTCTCTGGCCTCAACGACATTGATTGAAGCGAGCGACGTTGCACAGACGATATTTCACTAGCATTATTTCAAGATTTTTTCGACTCATAAATAAAATAGACTGATATGCATCGAGTTAATAAAAGCAAGCCAAACACAACATTTTTGTTCCATTTTTTATGCGCAGATCGCAGCCTTGTCATTTTACATAGCGGAATAAGACGTCTCCTGAGGAAACGGCTGTTGCTTTCTTCTTGTAGTATAGAGAGCAGTTCATATCGGGAAGAAGCGTTTTTTTTGTGAGATGAAAATAGCTTTGCGTAGAGTTTTCCTGTAGCTTACATGCTACACAAATTTTGATGATTATTTTTCTTTTTGCTTACAGACAAAATAAAGATAATTAATTCTTTTCTTTTTGGTTTAAGTCTGGCAGGTTGAAAATCAGCATACATATTTTAAAACCTGATTGCCTTTTCGCTAGGAAACGAAGAATTTGGAATGGTAATTTAGACTTGATCTACAACTGTTGCAAGATATCGAGATGTAATTAGTTTGCTGTTGCGAAATTAGACAAAAATATATCGATATCGTAAACGCAAATAACAGATCGAATCTTCTCGGTGACAAATTCGAGAATACGGCCACTAAAACATTTGATTGAAATATCACTTTTGTGATTAAAAAGCGCTGTATCATTTATTGACCTTGCTGGCGATAGAATCGATTAAACGTATCGATTTTCCGCGTTTAATTTCGTCGGCGCTGATCTCTGACAATGTTGTTACGTTAAGTTAAACAACCTGGCCGCGTAAATCTATAATCTCGTCTAAATTCAAATGAGCGTCGATCATTTGCGTGTTAAATTACTCGAAAAATTTGATACTGATCATTTTTTTTTTATTTTGAGTAAATAAACCAGTAAACCTTTTAGAGTATTGTTGACCCAGGTGCGAAACGCGAAAAATTTCGGAGATGATGTTTCGGGCGAATTAGCAGCTACAGCAAACATGGAAAATGATCTGGTGAGTCGGATTGAATGAAACTTAACAAGACGCAAGGTTTAAATTTCTTTTATTGTGAATGAGACACATTTTGCATAAAGTTCAAGGATGTTACAACACACGAACGTAGAGTAACTTCATTCTCAGGCAAAAAAATTATTTAAAATTTTCCATCTTTGGTATGCCATTAAAACCAAACGCACCCCAACGTTTTTTCAAGTCAGACAAAATAAAGAAATACACTTTGGGATGTTTGGGACAGCGATGAATTTTCCCACAAAGCTGAAAGTTAGTGTGCGAAAACAATTAAGAATTTGCCTTTAATTCGTTTCATTTACGCCGAACAAAATCCATTTTACAAGCTCCGCAGCAATGACTGATTCGATTTTCCAAATGCGATAATAATTATGAGAACGGAACATGTGTTGACGGTGCGAACATCCGTGCGTTTTACGACAGTTCCAGTCGGCGTGTTTTCCACTCCTTAGCTTAAGTTTGCGTATCAAATTTGACCTCCGATTTTTAAGAATGCCACAATAGGATTCCTAATGGTTCATTTGGTAGCAGTATTCAATCCCAGAAATAAAATTCCCACGAATAATTAAGGGCTAAATAATGGAAAATAGTTTTTGTGTTCTGATACTCAATTGCCACTTCCGCAGCAGTTGTATGTATTCGGCGTTTAACAGATTAATAGTTCTTATCCGAGAGACAAGACCAAATGGGGAAATAATTAAATTCTACTCCGTTTGCTATATAATTTCAAACTATCTCCACCTGTGGAAATCACCTTTCCACCGACATTTTGAAATATTTCAACCTCAATTCTTTATCTTTCTTTGAAGAAAACAAATTAAATCACATTGAAAAATGTTCAGACTCAGTGAAGAAAAACTTAAGCCGCA